ATCGATGATATCCTCCATGAACATAAATGCCAGAGCATCTTGTGTGGTTTGTCTGCTAAACATTTCCACGACCGACAAAATGTCGCCACTCCGTACTCACAACAACTACTGAAACATTTTTTTTTCGAGCTGACGACGGCGACGACCGTGTTTACGACAACCAAGCCCCAGGACTCCCGCGCGCAAAAATCGTACTCGTACCCGTACTCGTAGTCGGATCTGAAGGTCCCTAATATTAGCAGGCCACTGAGATCAGTCGGATAACCGCGGTGGACTTTTCCACCATAGCTGTGCTTCATTCTCACTGCCACCTCTGCTCCCCAGATCAGCAGGGTTCTCGGGTGTCGGTACATTTCTCCACTGCGTGTTCGGGTGGCTCTGGGTCTTTTTTACCCGATTAGCCACGAATTGGCGGTACTCCCCATCATCGTTCAGCCAGTGTAGGGCTACAGTGCTGTCGAGCCAGCACTGTATATCCTCCGTCATACTGAAGCCTTCTAGTGCAACCCGCACATTTGTAGACAAGTTGACTGCCATATGGCCTGACACGAGCTCCAAACGAGGAATCGTCAGACTTTTCTTAGGAAGGTGGGATTTGGCGACGATCAGACCCTGTGTCACGCCTGACGCCTGTGTAACCACAGCATAAACAGCAGCACACACACTGTGAATACTTGCATCACCAAATGCATGAAGTTTAATATTGTCGATTGGTTCCTGGTACTGAACAAGACTGCGAGGAAAGGACACATCATCTGGTGCATTCTTCCATTTTAGCCACCATTTTGCAATTCCCCTCGGGAAGTGGGGTATCCCAGCTCAACTTCATCTCACTGGCTACTCGATAGATTTGTATCCCCTCTAACATTGCAGGCGACACAAGTCCTAACGGGTCATAAATTTTCGCTAAGTTGGCGAGGATGCCCCGCTTGGTCAATGTAGCAGGCTGAGATGGGAGTGAAACATGTAAAGTGTCATCCCCTTTGTCCCAATTGAGTCCCAGTAGGTTGCACTCCCCACGAGCTGATGATGCACCAAGCTGTTGTTTTGCAAATGGAGGCTCATCATCGGTGCAGTCGCTTTCTAGTTCTGACACGTTTTAGTGCCATTTGTGCAAGGTGAACCTTGCACGATTAAAAATCTCTACTGCATGACGTTTGAGCTGTTGCGCACCTTCCATAGTAGTATCTCCGGTAATCAAATCATCTACATACA